TACTTGAAAGATGAACTGTCATCAATACCACCAGAGCAATCCTCTACATGTTTTCTCAAAAGTGTCCCATAGAGCTCTGTGGAATTTACTCCCCGGTAGACTGCAGTTTAAAATATTGTACAGCTCTTAAAACAAGCATGCCCACAGTATCTCCACCCTTAAAAAGCAATCTCGGAGGTCAAAGGATTTCAACTAATTGCCTAAAGCGGTGAATGAACCAGATGGATCACACTTCGAATATAGTTCCACTGGGGTCATAGAATCATAGAATCATAGAGTTGGAAGAGACCACAAGGGCCATCGAGTCCAACCCCCTGCCAAGCAGGAAACACCATCAGAGCACTCCTGACATATGGTTGTCAAGCCTCTGCTTCAAGACCTCCAAAGAAGGAGACTCCACCACACTCCTTGGCAGCAAATTCCACTGTCGAACAGCTCTTACTGTCAGGAAGTTCTTCCTAATGTTTAGGTGGAATCTTCTTTCTTGTAGTTTGGATCCATTGCTCCGTGTCCGCTTCTCTGGAGCAGCAGAAAACAACCTTTCTCCCTCCTCTATGTGACATCCTTTTATATATTTGAACATGGCTATCATATCACCCCTTAACCTCCTCTTCTCCAGGCTAAACATGCCCAGCTCCCTTAGCCGTTCCTCATAAGGCATCGTTTCCAGGCCTTTGACCATTTTGGTTGCCCTCCTCTGGACACGTTCCAGTTTGTCAGTGTCCTTCTTGAACTGTGGTGCCCAGAACTGGACACAGTACTCCAGGTGAGGTCTGACCAGAGCAGAATACAGTGGCACTATTACTTCCCTTGATCTAGATGCTATACTCCTATTGATGCAGCCCAGAATTGCATTGGCTTTTTTAGCTGCCGTGTCACACTGTTGGCTTTTTTGGCTGCCGCGTCACACTGTTGGGTCGTGTGGCAGAATAGAAAAAAAATGGCCTTTGCCACCACAGGTATTGCAGAGTCCTTGAGGGCTAAATGCCTCAGGCCTCCATTCTTCCCAGTGGCTTCCTTTTCATGGTCGCCAGTGCCACATCTTCTGTAATCCTGTCTGCCTCTATTTTTACCCCTTTATGAGACACATCCGAGCGATAAGAAGCAGAGTCAGAGACTCCTAAGACATAACTCCGTCTGAGGAGCAGACTCTTTTATCTCCACACTCAAAGCACCGAGCTTTCTAACATTTCCATTCACAAATCCTCAGGTGACCAGTCAAATCACACAGAGAGGCCATCGTCGTAAGAACACACAGCCATCAGCAAAAAAAACAAGAAGGGAGGGGTGTTTCTTTATTTGTTTATTTAAAGGATGCATTTTAAAACCCTGATATCTGGATTCTTTTCCCTTTTTTTGTACAGGGCCCCATTCAAAGCAGGTAGCAAAGAAGAAAAATTAAGAATGGTCAGATACAATAAACGTAAGCACGTAAATGAATTTTGTGCTCAGCCGGTAATTCTGTCTGAATAAATCTTATGTTACAGAAAATGCAGCAGCAGTCCTCAGTGACCTTCACTGACACAGAGGGCTTGGATTAGGGAAGGAGTACAACACTTAACGTTTATTTATTGGGACAAATGTCAGGTTCTGCACTTGGGCAGGAACAAAAGGTAAAGCGAACCCTGACCATTAGGTCCAGTCGTGACCGACTCTGGGGTTGCTGCGCTCATCTCGCTTTATTGGCCGAGGGAGCCGGCATACAGCTTCCAGGTCATGTGGCCAGCATGACTAAGCCGCTTCTGGCGAACCAGAGCAGCACACGGAAACGCTGTTTACCTTCCCGCTGGAGCGGTACCTATTTATCTACTTGCACTTTGACATGCTTTCAAACTGCTAGGTTGGCAGGAGCTGGGACCAAGCAACGGGAGCTCACCCTGTCGCGGGGATTTGAACCGCCGACCTTCTGATCGGCAAGCCCTAGGCTCTGTGGTTTAACCCACAGTGCCACCCTCGTCCCGGGCAGGAATAACCAGGTGCTAAAATATATGACGGGACACACCTGGCTTGCTTAGAATCATAGAATTGTAGAAGTGGAGGAGACCCCAAGCATCATCTAGTCCAAACCCCCCCCCCATGCAGAAATCACAACTAAATAATCCCTGACAGGTGGCCATCCAACCTCTGTTTAAAAACCTCCAAGGAAGGAGAGTCCACCATCTTCTGAGGGAGTCCATTCCTCTGGAGCAGCTCTTACTTTCAGAAAGTTCCTCCTAGTGTTTAGTTGGAATCCCCTTTCTTGTAATTTGAATCCATCCGTTCGGTCCAACCTTCCACAGCAGGAGAAAACACAGATTGCTCTATCTTCCATGTGACAGCCCTTGAGATATTTGAAGATATTTCCTCTCAGTCTCCTCTTTTCCAGGCTAAACATACCCATCTCCCTCAACCGTTCCTCATAAGGCTTGGTTTCCAGACTCTTGATCATCTTGGTTGCCCTCCTCTGCACACGTTCCACTTTGTCAACATCCTTCATAAATTGCAGTGCCCAGAATTGGACACAGTATTCCAGGTGTGGTCTGATCAAGGCAGAATAGAGCAGGAATATTATTTGACCTGGACACTATACTTCTGTTGAAGCAGCCTAGAATAGCATTAGCTTTTTTTCTTCTGCTGCTGCATCACACTGTGGACTCATGTTAAGCTTGTGTTCTACCAAGACCCTGTGGCCTTGGAGAAAAAGGGTAGAATATGAATGTACTACCAGCAAGCCAGGGACTCAGGCGGCGCTGTAGTCTAAACCGCAGAGCTTGGGGCTTGCCAGTCAGAAGGTCAGGTGTTCGAATCCCCACAACGGAGTGAGCTTCCGTTGCTCGGTCCCAGCTCCCTGCCAACCTAGCAGTTCGAAAACACGTCAAAGTGCAAGTAGATAAATAGGTACCGCTCCTGCGGGAAGGTAAACGGCGTTTCCGTGCGCTGCTCTCGTTCACCAGAAGTGGCTTAGTCGTGCTGGCCGCATGACCCGGAAGCTGTACACCAGCTTCCTCGGCCAGTAAAGCGAGATGAGTGCCGCAACCCCAGAGTCGGCCACGACTGGACCTAATGGTCAGGGGTCCCTTTACCAGCATGCCAAGTGTCCCCCATCTTGTATTTTTGCAGCTGGTTCTTCCTGCCTAAGTGCAGAACCTGACATTGATCCCTATTGAAATTCCTTTTGTTAGTTTTGGCTGATTTCTCCAATCTGTGACGGTCTTCTTGAATCCCAATTCCGTCTTCTAAGGTATCAGCTATCCTTCCCAATTTGGTTTCATCTGCACATTGGATGAGCATCTCCCCAATTCCTTTATCCAAGTCATTTATAAAGATGTTGAAGAACAACGGTCCCAGGACAGAACCCTGAAGCACCCCTCTTGTCACTTTTCCCCCAGGATGATGAGGAAATTGAAACTGTCTCACCCTAACTCTATGAAATCTGTAAATTGGCACTCACATTTTATCCTCATGGAAACTGCGTAGACCGGCAAATTTGAAAGGGATAAAGTCTAGACTGATCCTCTTTCAATCTCTAAGCAGCACAATAGAATGGCGCTTAAGAAATAACACACACATTCTATTTCAGTCTGTCTGGTTGAGTTTCTCTTGTCCGGAAGCAGTGGCCATATGTTCTGCGCTGGTATTACAAGTAAATCCTAATTGATGACAAATTGTGAAGATTAAAGTCGCCTCAGATTTAGCAACACTCTGGTGAGCAGCCATAGTAAAAGTGCAGTCCTGAGAATGGTCAGTAACACTAACAGCAATTGTATTCTTACTTGATTGGGTGTGGGGGGGTGGAATTTCTGCGCAAATATTCAGTGCTGGAAAAATCCAAACCACCAAATGCAAATAGAATGTAAGCTGGAGGACTGGGAAGCTATCATTGGTCCAGGAAAAGAAACTGCCATACCCTCCAAAATTTCTCCAATGAAAATAGGGATGTACTATTCAATAATAATAATAATAATAATAATAATAATAATAATAATAATATTTAAAGCCTGACCATCCAACTGGGTTGCCCCAGCCACTCTGGGCAGCTTCCAGCACATACAAAAACATAATAAACATTAAACAAGCTCAAATGTAGTCTGTTTCCCACGAGAGTCTCCTAAAAAAGTGGCCCAAGGACCACTTGGAAAATACTGGGGTTCTCGGCGGACCATTTAAAGATTTTTCTGCCTGTTGTAGCAGTTGCAACGTGCTGTAGGTGCTGTGTGATATTCAGTTATTCTTGATTGCTCCTTTTGTTCCTTACATTGAATTTTATTGCCATTCAGATTTTATTTTATTTTTTTTAAATGATATTTATTAAAGTTTCAAAACATACAAAAAATACAGAATACAGAAAGAAAAAGAATAAAGTTTTTTTTTTAATATAACAAACAAAAAAAAAAGAAACATACCAAATAAAACAGTTAAAAGGACATTAATTTTCCATAACCTATCTTCCCTATACTTATTTCCCCGGACCTCCTCATACCTCCCTTTTTTGTATTCCAGTTCAATTTGTTAGTTCAGCAAATCCTTACCATTAAAATTACCCAATTGCAAACCTTTTTTCATATCTCTTAAAGCATTACAGCTAAAAACCTCTTAGTTTCTATCCAACATCCTTCTAAGATTCCTTAATTTTACAATATTTCAGATTTTAAGTGTTTTTCACACACCTGCCACGCCCCACCTGAATGACCACTGGCGTTCCACAGACTACCATTTGGAAACCCCGATCTAAGCGCTTCTCTTAGCTTTCTAAAGCTCCTTAAAGGCCGTTTTGTAAGAGGGATTGTTGGACGATGAAGCTGCACTTTGTGTGGCCTTTGTCTGATGCCCTCCAGTTTAATGAGATTAAGGGGTTAGAGCCAGATTTAAGGGCTAGTTAAAGGATATTCCATGCTCTCCAAATGTAATACTTGGCTGTACAGCACTGATTCACAGAGAGCGCCGGCAGAAAGCTAAGATCCTCCCGGACTGCAAGTGGTTTGGATTTCTCTTGCGGCACATTTCACTTTGCACTAAAGAAAATGATCGGGGAACGTCTCCTGCTGTGGGTGGCCCTGATGTGTTGTGGTGGCTGTACTGAGGGCATCCTCCAGTCCACACTGGTGTTGGATATGGCAAAGCTTCTGCTGGATAATTATTGCTTTCCCGAAAACCTGGTGGGGATGCAAGAAGCCATCGAACAAGCCATCAAGGGCGGCGAGTTCTGGGACATTTCCGATCCCAAACTTTTGGCGACTGTTCTGACAGCTGGGGTTCAAGGAGCCCTTAACGACCCGCGGCTGGTGATTTCTTATGAGCCCTCCACTCCTGTTGCCCCCAAGCAAGCAGCAGAGATTTCTCTGACCTCGGAGCAGCTCTTAAGTCTCATCCAACACACAGTGAAGTCTGAGGTGCTGGAGGGCAACGTAGGCTACCTAAGGATCGACTCCATCATCGGTCAGGATGCTGTGGAGCAGATTGGGGCTTTCCTGGTAGAAAAGGTGTGGAAAACCTTGATGGAGACGTCAGCTCTGGTCCTCGACCTGCGTTACAGCACTGGAGGGCAGGTTTCCGGCATCCCGTTCATTATCTCTTACTTGTACAACGAGGACAGGGTCCTGCATGTGGACACCATATACAACCGGCCGTCCAATACGACCATGGAAATCTGGACTTTGCCGAAGGTGCTGGGTGTGAGATACAGCAAGGAGAAGGACGTTGTTTTGTTGATAAGCCAGCACACCACAGGGGTGGCGGAAGATGTGGCCTATATCCTCAAACAAATGCACAGGGCTATCATAGTGGGGGAGAAGTCAGCCGGGGGCTCCTTGAGCGTCCAAAAGTTGCAGATTGGGGCTTCCCAGTTCTACATGACAATTCCCCTATCCTGCTCTGTGAGTCCCTTGAGTGGAAACGGGCAAAGCTGGGAAATCGGTGGCGTGGAGCCATGCGTAGCTGCCTCATCAGAGCATGCTTTGGAGACAGCCCTGGGCATCATTTCGCTACGCAAAGCTATCCCTGGCAGTATCAACCTCTTGATGGGTATCCTGAAGGACAACTATGCTGTGGTAGACCGAGTCCCCACCCTGCTGACGCACCTCTCTGCTTTCGACCACTCTTCCGTCCTATCGGCAACTGAGCTGGCTTCCAAGCTTAACGCCGAACTGCACACTGCGTCGGAAGACCCGCGCCTATTCTTGCGGGCTGTCGCCCCGGGCGAATTTGCAGCTGCGCCAGCCGAAGAGCAGGTTGCCATGGCTACCGACCTACCTAACGACGAGCAACTCATGCACGCCCTGGTAAATACCGTGTTCAAGGTGTCGGTACTGCCAGGCAACGTGGGCTACATGCGCTTCGACGAGTTTGCAGATGCTACGGTGCTGGTCAAGCTAGGGCCCTACCTCGTTCGTCAAGTCTGGGAGCCCCTGGAAGCCACAGACAATTTGATCATGGACCTACGGTACAACATCGGAGGCCCCTCCTCAACCGCTGTGCCGGTGTTGCTCTCCTACTTCCAAGACCCTTCCGCTGGCGCTGTGCATTTCTTCACCACCTATGACAGGCGCACAAACCAGTCCCAGGACCACAGCAGCAGGGCTGAAATGCTAGGCAAGCCCTACGGAGCTCGGCGGGGCGTCTACCTGCTCACAAGCCACCACACGGCCACAGCCGCCGAGGAGTTTGCTTACCTCATGCAGTCCCTCGGCCGTGCCACCTTGGTTGGCGAGATTACGGCAGGTATCTTGACCCACTCGCACACCTTCTGCATTTTGCAGCTCAGTGAAGGAGCAGATTGCGGCCTTCTGATCAATGTACCGGTCGTCTCTTTTATCGACAACCACGGGGAGTGTTGGCTGGGTGGCGGGGTGGTTCCCGATGCCATCGTGTTGGCTGACGAGGCTCTTAAAAAGGCACAGGAAATACTGGCGTTCCACAACGGCATGGGAGTACTTGTCGAGGAAGTAAGGCAGTTGCTGGAGGCCCACTATGCCATACCGGAAATGGCCACCAGGATCAGTGGCGCCCTCCGTTTCAAGCTGGCCAAAGGCGGGTATCGCTCAGTCGTGGACTTTGAGACCCTCGCTTCTCAGCTGACCAGCGACCTTCAAGAAACCTCTGGGGATCATCAGCTGCACATCTTCCACAGCCACGTGGCACCGCCTCCAGAGGAGCACTCTCCTGACAAGATGCCCACTGCTGAGGAACTGGCTTACCTCATCGAGGCTCTTTTCAAGGTGGAGGTGTTGCCAGGCAACGTGGGGTACCTGCGTTTTGACATGATGGCTGAGGCGGAGACGGTGGAGGCTATTGGGCCACAGGTGCTGCACATGGTTTGGGACAAGTTGGTGGAAACGGAAGCTATTGTCGTCGACATGCGCTACAACACAGGCAGTTACTCCAACGGAGTGCCCATTTTTTGCTCCTACTTCTTTGACGCCGCTCCTCAGCGACACCTGTACACAGTTTTCGACCGCAGCACCTCTCAAAGTACCGAGGTGTGGACTTTGCCCGAGGTGACCTGCAAACGTTACGGCTCGGCTAAGGATGTCTATATCCTAATTAGCCACATGAGTGGCTCGGCTGCCGAAGCCCTCACTCGCTCTTTGAAGGACCTGCATCGGGCCACAGTAATCGGGGAGCCCACGGTCGGGGGCTCGCTTTCGGCTGGTAATTACCACATAGGCAGCAGCCCGTTGTACGCATCGATCCCCAGCCAAGTGGTGCTCAGTCCAGTCACTGGCAAAGTGTGGAGCTTGTCTGGAGTGGAGCCCCACGTCACCGTGCAGGCTCCAGAGGCCTTGGCTTCCGCCCAGAAGATCATTGCCTTGCGCGCCAGGTTGCCCAGTGTGCTGCAGACCGTGGGCAAACTGGTGGCCGACAACTATGCCTTTGTCGATATTGGGGCTACAGTGGCAGCCAAGCTTGCTGAGCAAGCCGCCTACAGAAATGTCAACTGTGAGGTGGAACTGGCTGAGAAAATGAACGCTAACCTAAAAGCTCTCTCTGGAGATAGGCACCTCAAAGTCACCCACATCCCTGAGCATTCAAAGGACCACATCCCAGGTATCATGCCCATGCAGGTAAGTTCCTATTCGGGGTGTGCTACCTCTTTGGTTTCTGCCACCCAAGGTGACTGCTTCATCCTGCCTCATGGGTGGGCCAGCCCTGCTGGGAAATGTGGCAAACGTGTGTGTATGTGTGTGTGTGTTTACTTTGTCATCCTATGGCATCACTGAACTTTCTGCTACCCTGCCACGTTATAGAGTATTAGCGGCAAATCATGTGTATTATTATTATATTATTCATTTCTATACTGCTGTATATTTTTAGGGGGGATCTCAAAGCAGTTTACAACCTACATTAAAACAGCAAATAAAACAATTTAGAATAAAACATTACTGAAGGAAGTCGAATATAAAGTATACATTTAAATACAATTAACATTCATTCAGACATAATTAACAGGAAACTAAAATATTATCCTGAACATTAAAAAAAACAACAACTACAGAGGAGGTCAACTGCAGAATCCACATTTAGCAGAGCAAAGTTAACCAAAAAAAATCTTAAACATTTCAAAAGAAAGCATGACTAAGTGAAGTCAAATATAAAAGGCACATTTGAAACAGCACAACTAGCAAAATAATAAGTTGCCCTATTCTCTCCACAGTGTTACTATCCCTTTCTACAGTTTGTTTGTTTTTAAGATGAAAGACACTTTTATTGTTGCCCATATCAGTTTTTTTGCCCTTCCTGTTGTTCAGGGTGTGTCATCCCCCAGTTACAATTTAGGGCCAAGCTAGATGTATGCATTTAGCATACCGTATTTTTCGCTCTATAAGACGCACCAGACCACAAGACACACCTAGCTTTTGGAGGAGGAAAACAAGAAGAAAAAAATTCTGAATCTCAGAAGCCAGAACAGCAAGAGGGATCGCTACGCAGTGAAAGCAGCAATCCCTCTTGCTGTTCTGGCTTCTGTGATAGCTGCGCAGCCGGCATTCGCTCCATAAGACGCACACACATTTCCCCTTACTTTTTAGGAGGGAAAAAGTGAGTCTTATAGAGCAAAATATATGGTAATTTCTGAGCAGAGCCTCCTGCACTGTGAACATGCACCTGTTCTGACTGCATGACCTGCACTCTGCAGATTCTAAACACAGACTGTATCATCGCACATGCTCTGTTCAAAAGTCAGAAGCTGCAAGGAACATGTGGGCATATCAGGGCAAGTGATGGCAATCTTGTCTCAGTTCTTCAGTGTAACAGATTCTCTGCTGAGGGTTGCCATAGTTCAAAAAGTAAAATTCCTGACACCTGCAAAGTCGCTGAACTTTTTTTAGGAGTTTAAGCTTATTTTTAAGCTTATTTTTGGGAACAAACCCAATTTTTTGAGCTTTTTTGGTAGGGGTGGACTAACCCAAACAGTGATTTTAAGCTTTTTTTTAGCTGTTTCCTTTGCTTTTTCCACTGCGTTACCATACATCCGGGTTTTCCCTGACCTTTTGGCAAAAATCCCCCAACACCATTTGTGCACCTGATGACCAGGACATGTCAGGGATTTTCCTGACATATGGCAAGCATACAACTGCTGCAATTATCTGCATGCCTATTTAAAAGCAAATCCCAGGGCAGGGTGCAATTTAAGGTACCATGGATAGGCTTGGGCGGTATAGATCCAGAATCAAAGGTTAGCAGTATCTAAGCAAAACTGTTTGACCCCATGGACCAGAGCACGCCAGGCACTCCTGTCTTCCACTGCCTCCCGCAGTTTGGTCAAACTCATGCTGGTAGCTTCGAGAACGCTATCCAACCATCTCATCCTCTGTCGTCCCCTTCTCCTTGTGCCCTCCATCTTTCCCAGCATCAGGGTCTTTTCCAGGGAGTCTTCTCTTCTCATGAGGTGTCCAAAGTCTTGGAGCCTCAGCTTCAGGATCTGTCCTTCCAGTGAGCACTCAGGGCTGATTTCCTTCAGAATGGATAGGTTTGATCTTCTTGCAGTCCATGGGACTCTCAAGAGTCTCCTCCAGCACCCGTGATGACTGTATGTATGTATTTATTTATTTATTTATTTATACATACATACATACATACATACATACATAACCTGCCCATCTGGCTGGGTTTCTTCAGCCATTCTGGGCGGCTCCCAAAAGAATATTAAAAACACGATAAAACATCAAACATTAAAAACTTCCCTAAACAGGGTTGCCTTCAGATGTCTTCTAAAGGTCAGATAGTTGTTTATTTCTTTGACATCTAATGGGAGGGCGTTCCACAGGGCGGGCGCCACTACCGAGAAGGCCCTCTGTCTAGTCCAGTGGTTCTCAACCTGTGGGTCCCCAGATGTTGTTGGACTACAACTCGCATCATTCCTAGCCAGCATGATCAGTGGTCAGGGATGATGGGAGTTGTAGTCCAACAACATCTGGAGACCCACAGGTTGAGAACCACTGGTCTAGTCCCTGAGTCTGCAGGTAACCTACACTAATAAAACACAACGTCCAATGTTTGCCTCCATGGTTTGTTCTTTAACACAGGAAAGCAGCCTTAACTTAATAGGTTCAACAGATGGCCGTGGTTCATTTTAAAGATATTATTATTGCAGGTTTCGACACATTCGTTTAAAATTCTGATTTCTACTTACACCAGGTTTGCGAGTGCGTGAGATGCTTTTACTGTAACTGAGATGTTTTCGCATTAAAATGCATATACAGTGGTACCTCAGGTTAAGTACTTAATTCGTTCCGGAGGTCCGTTCTTAACCTGAAACTATTCTTAACCTGAAGCACCACTTTAGCTAATGGGGCCTCCTGCTGCCGCTACACCGCCGGAGCACGATTTCTATTCTCATCCTGAAGCAAAGTTCTTAACCTGAAGCACTATTTCTGGGTTATCGGAGTCTGTAACCTGAAACGTATGTAACTCGAGGTACCACTGTATCTGCTCAGGAGGGAAGTTGCTGTCCCTTCATGGTTTCTGACGGGTTCAGAGTACAAGGGGCACCCAGTAGAGAAACAAGATTTATTTATTCTCATGTATATTCCCCCTTGGGAAACGGGTGGCACTGTGGGTTAAACCACAGAGCCTAGGAACTGCCAATCAGAAGCTCGGCGGTTCGAATCCCTGCAACGGGGTGAGCTCCAGTTGCTCGGTCCCTGCTCCTGCCAACCTAGCAGTTCAAAGGACGTCAAAGTGCAAGTAGATAAATAGGTACCGCTCCGGCGGGAAGGTAAACAGCATTTCCGTGCGCTGCTCTGGTACGCCAGAAGCGGCCTAGTCATGCTGGCCACATGACCCAGAAGCTGTATGCCGGCTCCCTCGGCCAATAAAGCGGGATGAGCGCCGCAACCCCAGAGTCGGTCACGACTGGACCTAATGGTCAGGGGTCCTTTTTATATTCCCCTTTTCCTCTAAGGAACTCAAGGCGGTGTATATGGTTCTCTCCTTCCCACCATTTCATTCTCACAACAACCATGTGAGGTAGGAATGAGGCAGGCTAAGAAACAGGCACCGGCCATCATGGCTGAGTAGAGATTTGAACCTTGGTCTCCCCAGACCTAGTTCTACACTCTACTCAACTGGCTTAATTTCAATGAGACTAGGAGCCGTGATGTGCTCATGATCTCCACCTCGTTCATTCATTTGACGTTGCCCTTCTATGTTCTTCAAACCATGGCAGATCCCTTCTCCCGAAATGTTTGAAGACCTCGTGAAGTTCTCCTACCACACCAACGTGCTTGAGAACAACGTGGGCTACTTGAGGTTCGATATGTTTGGTGACTGCGATCTTTTGTCTCAGCTCTCTGAGCTGCTTCTGAAACACGTTTGGGAGAAGATCGCCCACACGGATGCGCTAATCATAGACCTGAGGTAACTGCTAGACCAAAAATTATCAAGGACTGGATGAAATCAACGCAGAACCAATCATAGTTTTCTTTTCTTTCTTTAAATGTTAATTTTTATTTGATTTTTTCCTAAGGTTATAACAAATTTACGTCGCATACATCGCTCACTTATATTTTTCTTGTTGACTTCCCACTCCTCCAGCCTGGATATTTTTATTCTTATCCTTAATTGCTACATTAAACCCCCAAATCCATCTTGTCATTTCAGCCCCCCGCCGCTTATATCTCGAATCCTGCTCACTAGTTCATATTGCTAAAATACTTTGACAGTCTAATAAAGGCCTCCAATTTTCCATAAACAATTTGCAATGTTGATCTGTTATGTTTTACAATCAATTTTGCCATTTCAGCATAATCAATTGATTTTATAAGCCATTCTTGTTTGGTTGGAATCTCGTCCTTTTTCGGCGTTTATAAGATTCTGTAGTTGCTGCATACGCAAAAAAGTAAAAATATAAAAAATTAGTCAGCTTCTTCAGAGCTTCTATCCCAATTATCCCTAGCAAAAAGGCTTCATGTTTTGGGGGATCAGCAATTTAAGGAATTAATTGTAATTTTCAAAATGGAACGTACACAGTAAAAGTGGTGTTTCTCAAAGCTTCAGATTTAATCTCTTTGCCCCTTAACCACTTGCATGGGTGCAACTGAATATTTCAAATGTCATGTGTGCAGTTGTATGGCAGCAGGCTATAGCTTCGAACCTTCACAGTGAACCTATGGTGATAACAACAAAAACAACAGCAACAACAACAGCAACAACAACAACAACTTATGTATACTCTGCCCATCTGGCTGGGTTTCCCCAGCCACTCTGGGTGGCTCCCAGCAGAATATAATAATAATAAAGTGATAAAACATCAAACATTAAAACTTCCCTAAATAGGGCTGCCTTCAGGTGTCTTCGAAAAGTCAGATAGTTGTTTATTTCCTTGACATCTGATGGGAGGGCATTCCACAGGGCAGGTGCCACTACCGTGAAGGCCCTCTGCCTGGTTCCCTGTAACCTCACTTCTTGCAGTGAGGGAACCACCAAGAAGACCCTTGGTGGAGTTTCTCAGTGTCTGGGCTGAATGATGGCGGTTGAGATGTTCCTTCAGGTATACTGGGCAGAGGCTGTTTAAGGCTTTAAAGGTGAGCACCAACACTTTGAATTGTGCTCGGAAACGTACTGGGAGCCAATGTAGGTCTTTCAGGACCGGTGTTATATGGCTTTGGTGGCTGCTCCCAGTCACCAGTCTGGTTGCTGTATTCTGGATTAGTTGTAGTTTCCGGGTCACCTTCAAAGGTAGCCCCACGTAGAGCACATTGCAGTAGTCCAGGCGGGAAATAACCACTCTGGTGAGAGAGTCTGCGGGCAGGTAGGGTCTCAGCCTGCGCACCAGATAGAGCTGGCAAACAGCTGCCCTGGATGGAGAATTGACCTGCGCCTCCATGGACAGCTGTGAGTCCAAAATGACTCCCAGGCTGCGCACTTGGTCCATCAGGGGCACAGTTACCCCATTCAGGACCAGGGAGTCCTCCATACCAGCCCACCCCCTGTCCCCCAAGAACAGTAATTCTGTTTGTGATCCAGATTCCCTCCCTTCACTGAATATACGTGTGTTCAAACCATGCAGCACATTTTAGAAAGTATGTCTGCCTTGTCCCACAGGTTGAACCTTATGTGATCTGGGCTTTCTTCCTCTGTTTAGATATAATATAGGAGGCTCTACATCTTCCGTAGCAGCTCTGTGTTCGTATTTCTTTGATGAAGGACACCCAGTTCTTCTGGACAAGGTCTACAACAGACCCAATGATACCACCAGAGACATGTGGACCCTTTCGCAGCTTACAGGTGAGAGCAATTATACTTTTGGTTTGTAGGTGTCAATAGATTTCCTGATACCTATATTAGAAAGCCACTGACAGCATGTAATTTGTGAAATGTCAGAACGGCTGATAGCATGAATCATTGTCAAGCAGTTCTGATTAAGAAATGGGGGGATGCAATGAATACATGGGGAAACAGTGTTTAACACCTCACTTTTTGTAATGTTTGAAAATGGGGTGTTACTAGGGCTAGACCACCGAGTGTGAGGAAGGTGGGAGAGCTAAATCCTCAGGTCAGGAGGGACCTGGGAAGGCACCGAAAGTTCCCCACTGGGTAGAGCAGTTTGTATTTCCCCCTGCATCTTCCTCAGGGGTCCAGGTTGAGGATGACATTACTCTCGCTTCAGGCAGTTGCCTTGTTCCGACTGTCTGTGTGGCCTTTATCAAGCTGCACTTTTTCGGCCTTAATTTGCAATCTGTAGAGCAGAAGGAATAGCCACTTGCTTTTCAGGATTGATGTAAGCAGAAACAAGATTCATATAAGGCACTTCTAAAATTGAGACACTATGGACTCAACTACATTAGTCGAATTATAACATTATAAATGCATTATAACACTGTGACACCAAATGGCGCTGTAGAGCTGAAATGGAAAGTCAATAATAATTTCCATTGTGAGCTTTTACAACTTTCCCCCCATAGTGTTTTTTTATAGCTGTGTAGATCCAGCCTACGCAAATTAAGTAAGGATTTCAATTTTGTTGTTGATTTTGAACCCTTGAGGTCTTATTACCCCTTATTTCATAGCTGCAAGGAGGAGGGGAGCCAATCGTAGGGTTGAAAGGGACCAATGTACTAACCTACTGCATGTTATCTTGCCTCTTGAAGGTATGAGATACGGTTCCAATAAAGGTCTAGTCATCCTCACCAGCTCTGTCACTGCCGGTGCGGCCGAGGAATTTGTGTTCATCATGAAGAGACTGGGCAGAGCCTTCATCGTTGGGCAAAGGACCAGCGGGGGTTGCCTCCAGCCTCAGACATACCACGTGGATGGCACCAGCCTCTACGTCACCATTCCAACTTCCAGATCCACCATTTCCATGGATGACATCTGGGAGGGTGTGGGCGTTAGACCTCACATGGAAGTTCCCCCTGAGGTGGCACTCATCAAGGCTAAGGAAATGTTGCGGCTGCACAGGTCCAGCTAAACTCGAGGTCCAAAACCAAAGGCCCCATGGGAGCAAAAGGCAGGAAGTGAAAATTAGGGGAGGTGAGTGTTTCATCCCGGCAAATCTGTCCCAGGCCTCTGGTGTCTCAAGGATATCACTGACCCAGTCCCAGCGCTTATGAGAAGTCCACAAAGGGGGAAGAAAGACATGCAGAAGAACACCCCAACCCAGCCCACCCACAGGTTCCTCTTTTAGACCCAGGAAGGCCTGAGCCCCCACAATACACACAGAGTAGATGGCTAGGAGCAGCCGGAGCTCTGTGATTACTCGAGTTTGTGTATGTACCCTTCCATTTCCACTCCGATGCAAATTTTACAGGTCACACCACCCTGAATGTCATCCCCCCCTCACTGGTCCTTATTCGTCCTTCCTGATTCAACGAGTGGATTCGTGCGATCTTGTACACGCGTGAATCGTCGTGAAGAGAGATGCTGATTCCTGTAGGGGTTATTCAGAAGTAAAATGTGAGCCAGTGTGGTGCAGTGGTTAAGAGCGGTAGACTCGTAACCTGGTGAACTGGGTTCGCGTCTCCGCTCCTCCACATGCAGCTGCTGGGTGACCTTGGGCCAGTCACACTTCTTTGAAGTCTCTCAGCCCCACTCACCTCACAGAGTGTTTGTTGTGGGGGAGGAAGGGAGATTGTTAGCCGTTTTGAGACTCCTTTGGGTAGTGATAAAGTGGGATATCAAATCCAAACTCTTCTTCTTCTTCTACCTTTGCCACCAAAGAAGTCCTATGCGCCTAGGCAGAAGCTCATCAGACTGAAGGCAATATTGCCATGTGTGAGCATGGGGGCATGCATGCATGCAGACAACCTGCAAGAGTAGACGCTCCTGTCTGGGGAACTCCCAAGAAGCTCCTTGCATCTGATTACAGATCTTCCTGACATGGAGCGTCATTCTTGAGTGTTTGCGAATGTTCAGGCCGCTTGAATTGGTTCTGAGTTTTACTGATTACTAGGCAGTGAGAAGAAGAGAGCACCTGAACAAAGGAAAGATTGTGCATTTTCAGAATGATATAAGCATAAGTAGGAAACCATTAACACTCCACAATGAAACGGAGGGAATTGAACTCAGAGCTTCTGAGCCCAGTTCCTCTCTGTTGCATGGTCTTTCAAGCTCTTATCCTTTAAAGGATCGCAGAATCCTACCATCGCAGAGTTGGAAAGGACCGAAAAGGTAATCCCACTGAAATGCAGGAATCACCGCTCTAAAGAATTCCTCACCCAACCTCTTCTTAAAAACCTCCAATGAACCAGAGTCCACAACCTCCCAGGGGACTCCGTTCCACTGTCAAAACAGCTCTAACCATCAGGAAGTTATTTCTAATGTTTAGTCAGACTTTCCTTCCTTGTAATCTGAAGCCATTGGTTCAAGGTCCTACTCTCTGGAGCAGAGTAAAACAAGCTCACTCCATCTTCCATGTAACAACCCTTCGGATATTTGAAGATGATTATCATATCTCCTCTCCGTCTCCTCTTCTCCAGACGAAACATAACCAACTCCCTGAACTGTTCCTCACAAGGCTTGGTTTCTAGACCATGGGTAGGCAAACTAAGGCCCAGGGGCTGGATCTGGCCCAATCACCTTCTCAATCCGGCCTGTGGACGGTCCAGGAATCAGCGTGTTTTTACATGAGTAGAATGTGTGCTTTTATTTAAAATGCATCTCTGGGTTATTTGTGGGGCATAGGAATTCGTTTACCTCCCCCCCCAAAAAAATATAGTCCAGCCCCCCACAAGGTCTGAGGGACAGTGGGCCAGCCCCCTGCTCAAAAAGTTTGCTGACCCCTGTCCTAGACCCTAGATCATCTTCATTGCCCTCCACTGAACACGTTCCAGTTTGTCAACATCCTTCTGAAGGGAAGCAAGGAATAAACCTTATTTCCAACTTCACCACAGAGAGGGCTCAATCCTTTGTGCTGCTGTCAGGATTCCTTGGCGTAAGGGCAGGAAGGCACTGGAGGGTTTCACAATCCCACCACTTTCCCCCCCTGCAACATTCTCCAGAAGGTGGAAATCTTTTGCCACCCAATTCTCCCACCCCCACATTTAATTCCCAAGGTTGTCCATCTATTTCTCTAATTTGGGAAGTGATGGAGGGTTTTTACAAGACCTTGTTACGAAAGCGTAGCACGTTAGACCCATCTATCATGGTTCCAGTGATATGTCATTAGCTGAATCGTATTACTTAGTATATGGAGCCTGAGTTTGCCACCAGAATTCTTATCAGTGACCAGCTGTTCTTGAAACCCATTTCCTTGTTGTACCTGGATATTTTTTCCCCAGACTAGCTGACCAGAAGCAGTGCCTAACAGTCAGGTCTTGTCTGAGACAAAAATGCAAGTCATATAGGCTTCCATTCTGTATCTTCACCAATGTATGTTTATTAAGAAAAGGGCACCATGCAGGAGACTAAGAGCAGAATCTGGACTGCACTGTTCTGTGAGAATTAAGATCCAAGAACAGGAAGAGAAAAGTTAGGTCAAAATAAAAATCTGATTTAATCCTATCTGCTTCTCCCTGCGATCAACATCTTGCTCCCAGCCCTCATGTGAGTCATGTCTTTGCTTTTGTGTTGAAAACACTTCGGTGGCTTGTCGTTACTGCATCTGCAAGAGATGAATTGCATTCCAGCCACTCCAACATGTACGACGTATTTAGATGGGCGGATTATTAGCATTGCTGCTGTTCATCAGATCTGCAACCCATTAGGGCACCACACACCATTTTTATGGTCTTTATTCTCAACTTCCAAAGCCTGATATTCCTTATGTCCCTTTCAAAACCGAAATGAAATTATCCATAGATTTAAAAGTGCATAATTTATTGTGCTGCTTATTTAATTTACAACTTTTGCGGGCATTTAAAATTTCTTGCTGCATATTTTGTAAACCAGATTACCACTGCGAAAAGTTCTGTAATAAGAATCTGGTGGCATATATTGATTTATTTGCAGGAAAAGTCACAGTATAAAGGTCTGTGTCAGTTTATGTAGCTAAAATAGAGCCGTTTTGGTCTTCAGTATGTATTTAGCAAATCTTAGCTGCTTCAGCGTGCTTACCAACACAGTTTTAAACATATGTATCTACTCTGGAGTAAGCACTACTGAGTTCAATGGGGCCTACATGCATGTGAGTATAAAAATGCCATCAAAGTTATTTAAATATATTTAAATTTGTGTGTAATGATGTAATGTTTACTTTGTGTCTAAAAGGTAAAATGCTTTTTATTCACACTTACCTTGCATAGTGATTATTAGTAGACTAAATAAATAGTCCAAGAGTTTTTCTCTCACTTGCTAAGGGCTCAAAATATTACATACAGGTATTCTTATTTTCCTGTTTTTACATCCAAGCTACTGAAACTGAGAACTGCGTGAAACTTTCATCCAGAACCCATTAACGTACTCATTAACGCAGTTGTGTAGCCTACACTAATAAATGAAACCCAGTTTATATTTTGTATTATACTCGTTCACACAGTAAACCATGGTTGGAAATGAAACCATGGTTTCCTGTGAACTAGTAGAATGCTGGTGCACACTGGTTCGCGCTCCACCCTACCTGCCTCTGGGAGAAGCGAGCAACAAGTCTTGGCTACCTCTTGTGATATGTTCTCCGCCCCAAAAAACTATGAGCAGTAACCCAGTACTGCTGGTTTTCACATAACGCTAAAGTCTCGTTGGCTTCTTTCTCCCAGAGCCAGAAAGGATGGAGCGTGCCCCCTCGCTTTGCTCCTTTGTGAAACCATGGCACTGTCAAAAGCAGATGGCATGGTGGGGCTTGCCTGACCGCTCTCCAGCTGAGTCACTGCTGCATTCTGGGATGCAGGGGGTGACAAAGTCAGGAAAAGTGCCAACACATGCAGCAGATTGGCGCATGAACTGGGAGAACCATGGTTCCTCCCATCCTCTGTCCTGGTACCCGAGCAACTCAGCCATAGGGAGATCACTCACCATCCTACTGCTTATCGTTACATTTGAACAAAGCCACTACAGAACTATGGTAGGCTTATCCTACCATAAACATTCAATTATCTTATCATTGCAGCGCCTACCAAGTTCCTCTAAATACCTTAGGTAAAGGTAAAGGACCCCTGACAGTTAAGTCCAGTCGGGAACGACTCTGGGGTTGTGGCACTCATCTCGCTTTACTGGCCGAGGGAGCCAACGTTTCTCTGCCGACAGTTTTTCCAGGTCATGTGGCCAGCATGACTAAGCCGTGACGGGGTGAGCTCCCATTGCTCAGTCCCAGCTCCTGCCAACCTAGCAGTTCAAAAGCACGTCAAAGTGCAAGTAGATAAATAGGTAGCACTCCAGCAGGAAGGTAAACAGTGTTTCTGTGTGCTGCTCTGGTTTCGCCAGAAGCGGCTTAGTCATGCTGGCCACATGACCCGGAAGCTGTAGGCCGGCTCCCTCGGCCAATAAAGCGAGATGAGTGCCGCAACCCCAGAGTAGGCCACGACTGGACCTAATGGTTATGGGTCCCTTTACCTTTTTTAAAGGTGTATAATGAAGGCGCCAGGCGAACTTCCCTGGGGAGAGCATTCCACAGGCAGGGAGCCACTGCAGAGAAGGCCCCGTTCTCATGTTGCCACCCTCCGGACCTCTCGAGGAGGAGGCACACGAAGGAGGGCCTAGGGATAGGCTTTCCACGTCGTGTTGTAACACCAGCTAACCATTTGAGATATAGCAATATATCACGATGACTGAAATAATACCGGAAAAGACTTGGAAAGTGGCTGGGCTGTGGAGGGAGGGAGGAGCGACAGGGAGGAACGGAAGGGGACTTCCCGCTTGCTGGCTGAAGGAGCTCCTGCCCTCTCCATCTCTCAGACGGAGCCTGAGAAGGTGTTCCATCTGCTTCCTGCCTGCCTGCACAGTTGCCTCTTTGCCCAAGCAAGTGGAGTGGGCTGTCTCTTTGCCCTCGGACTGGGAGGAAAGAAGCAGCCTGTCCCATTTGCTTGGGTGAAGGCAAATGCACAACTGGTATGCCGACTGGAAAGCAGGCAACTTGAGCTGGCGACACAACACAGCTCCCTGGTCGCCACCAGCAGGCAGGCTGGAATACGTTGTGCTGGCAGGGGCCGTGGCGCCACGATGCACCGCCAGCTCAGAAAGTCTGAAACCAGTATTGTGATCTGAACTTCATCCTGGTTTCAGACGAAGAATCGAAATATTGCCCAACTCTATCATCGGCTATGATGTCTCAGGTACAGTGGTACCTTGCGTTAAGAACTTAATTCGTTCTGGAGGTCCGTTCTTAACCTGAAACTGTTCTTAACCTGAGGCACCACTTTAGCTAATGGGGCCTCCCACTGCCACCACCAGGTGATTTCTGTTCTCATCCTGAAGCAAAGTTCTTAACCCAAGGTACTATTTCTGGGTTAGCGGAGTCTGTAACCTGAAGCGTCTTTAACCCGAGGTACCACTGTACTGTCCAATGTTTTACTCATGACAACAATGCCTACACTGGTCCTAAAGGATCTTCACTGGCTCCCAGTACATTTCTGAGCACAGTTCCAAGTGTTGGTGGTGACCTTTAAAGCCCTAAACAGCCTTGGCCAAGTATACCTGAAGGAGCGTCTCCACCCCCATCGTTCTGCCCGGACTCTGAGGTCCAGCGCCGAGGTCCTTCTAGCAGTTCCCTCACTGCAAGCAGTGAAGTTACAGAGAAGCAGGCAGAGGGCCTTCTCGGTAGTGGCACCTGCCCTGTGGAACGCCAACCCACCAGATGTCAAGGGAAAAAACAACTATCTGACTTTTAGAAGACATCTGTCAGCTGCGTCCCATTGCTGACAGAAGGAGACAGCTTGGAGAGACAGGTAATTAGGCAGGAATGTGGAAGGAGGAAGGAGCAGCCTAGTTGCAGTAGAAGCCTTTCTTTAGAAGAACAAGGAAAAGGAAGGGGGAAGTTACAGGGAGAAGACACAGACTGACAGTTTAAGCTCGGACCCAGAGTGAGGGCCACCGGAAAAAGCCCATCCCACGATGTGCAGGCGAGCAAGAATTAATGAGAGGCGTGAACAGGAAAGGAAGCGAAGGGGGGCTTTAAATGTGGGAAGAGGAAGGGGCAGAACTCAGACTCGGCAACAGCTAATTTGGAAGCAGACACTGAGTGACTGAGCTCCAGAGTGATTTGTGTGTTTTGAGCAATAAACCTGAGTTAATTGCTGCTGGAATTGTCTCGCTTCTGTGGGAGAGACCCAACCATTACACATCTGGAGGCAGCCTGTTTAGGGAAGTTTTTAATGTTCGATGTTTTATTGTGTTTCTAATATTCTGTTGGGAGCCTCCCAGAGTGATTGGGAAAACCCAGCCAGGTGGGTGGGGTATAAATAACAAATTATTATTACTACTACTTCTGCTCAGTAGAGTGGACTGGACTTCACAGGTGGACAGGCTTTTTCGAAGAATAACATGAGGTACGATAAGCCCTCCGCCACCCCAAACCAGCAAAATTATTTCCAAAATAATACCACCACCTCAATGTCTCAGTCTTTTATTTCCTTGGAAGCATATCAACAGTGCTCAATTTCCAGGGACATATCTTCCTGGAGCTCCTGTAGTAATAGTCCCCCTCCCCACATCTGAAAAACAAAGAAATCACTGCAGATTGCCTGGCTCTTGGAAAATCATGGTGAAATCTAGCAGAAACAGCTTGATCAACGCACACATCTGACCCATCTCGACGGTACAAGTGAGGGCCTAATTATGAGAAGTCATGTGCCGAGATAAATGGTGCCGTTCCCGGAAATATTCCTGGCACACGGGGCAGGTCAGCTTCTCCTCCCGCCTCCTTTTGCGTGGAGACTCTGGCGCAGACCCCTCCTTTTTGTGGTGGCAGCGCATGTGGAACACCAGGTCGGACGTCATGCGGAAAGAGAGGTTGCATTTGGCGCACCAGTTTTGGGCCGCGACGCTGAAGGAGGTGAAGGTGGGAGGCAAGAGAGTCAAGGAAGCGGACGAGGGAGTCGAGGCTGTGGTGGGCGTGGTCTGCCTTTGCTCTCCCATCTGCCTGGGCCACAGCCCTGAGGTATAAGGGTGGCGCTGAACGAGGCCCGGCGGCAGCAACGGGGAGCTGTTCAAGTCACTCGCCAGGAACTTCGAAGCCAGAAGGGCGCTGTAACGCATGACGTCCGCGGCACTGACGCATCCTGACAACTCCCCTGGGCCTTTTGCTAAGTCGCTCAGAGGGTGAGGGGCAGCTGCCGTTGTCCTCCTGTCCAGCAGGCATCTAGCTGGCTTGCTGAAAGCACTCTTTGGCTCCCTGGTACCTCGGTTGGGCCACACAAAGGAGAATGCACTGCCAGGGGAACATGGAACAGGGTCCCTGCCAGGGTGAGCCTCCCCAATTCCTTGTTCCACCGCCTTGGCTTTCTCCATTTTCATCTTCTCCTTTATCTGCCTCACTTCAGTGAACGCACTCTCCTTCTGCTCCAGGAGGAGAGCATCCTTCTTGACAGACATTTGTTTTCCTGCGCCGAGCTTCCAGAAAGATCCCCCTGATACCTGCTGCGCAACTCCTTCGTCCCTACTCCCGCTGTGCTGTCCTCCGTGCAGGTGGTTTGTCTTCTCCAACAACACAGCCTTCCGGCTCAGGCCGTTCTCCACGTCGTCGCAGTTCATCCGCCTCTCCCCATGGGAATCGTCTTTCCAAGCGGCCATTTTGAACTCCAGGTCCCTAGCCAGGCTGTGGAAGTTTGTGGGTTGTCCTACCAACCTGCTTTTCGTCGTCTTTGGGGCAGAAAGGTTTCTCCAGAGCTGGGCGCTGTTCTCTGGGAAGCAGAGGAAGCGGGCGTGAGACAGAAAGGGGTGTTCCCATTTGAAAACTTGCTTGCAGTTCGGGCAATCCAACTCTAGGCAGAAAGAAAAGTCATGAAAGTCACGGAATTGCAGGTCAGGTCTTTTCCTACAATCCCTAACAAAAATGCCTCTGGTTTTTTCACAAACATTTTCTTCAACTCATTATTGCCAAAGAAAATAAAGAATTTATTTATGTATGTAATAACGGCAGCAAGAGTCTTAATAGCTCAAGGATGGAAGAATGAGGAAACCCCGACAAAAGAACAATGGCAAGAGAAATTGATGGAACTGGCAAAACTGACATACAAATTGCAAGACGAGGACAACTGTGACTTTGGGAACTTTTTACAAACTACTTTAAAAAAAACCAAAATGAACTGGACTCCTTGGCAGGTTTTGAATAAACATACACAAATTTATTGACTGTTAATATAATAGATAGACAATTTAAGGATCTTTACAATTTTACAATATGCAGAGAACAACATGTGCTGAAAAATCAGAGAGAGGAACTGAGGGAAGTCTTGGGGGAGAGGGAGGGAGGGGTTTTGGGGGGGAGGGGGAGGGGAAAAATTGGGGGGAATGATGAAGATGATATGTTATGATAATTTGCTATATTGAAATTATTAATAAAAATATTTTTTAAAAAAGAAAGTCATGGAATTGCAGAGTTGGATCATCTAAATCATAGATCATATCTGCGTCATTATCCCAATTCTTATGCTTATTGACAGTCTCAACAAATCTAAAAGTTTGGGAATGTAAGACTTCTGTTGCAGAAGGCATGATTCTTCCTCAGCAAGGCTTGTTCTTTTATATGCTTAATAATATTATTAATAATGCTTTCAACCAATAGACAGTGGTACACTGGAAGCTGAATGGAACCTGTTCCGGAAGTCCGTTCCACTTCCAAAACATTCGGGAACCAAGGCGCGGCTTCTGATTGGCTGCAGGAAGCCAATCAGAAGCCGCAAAAGTCGCATCAGATGTTTGGGTTCCAGAGAACATTTGAAAACCAGAACAATCACTTCCGGTTTTCGATCGTTTGGAAACCAAAACGTTCAACTCCCAAGGCATTTGAAAAGCAAAGTAAAACTGTACTTGGAACAGATGTTGCACTTAAAATTCCTCACTCCCCCTGCATCCCTCTTTAAAAACTGGCATTATTTTGGTTACTCTCCAATTCTCTAGTAACAAACTCGATTTTAGTTACAAGCTCCTTTTGTTAGGAGAAGAGCAATTTCACACTTGAGTTCTCTTAGGGGGCTCTCAGGTGTATGCCAACTGGATAGGATGACATTAATCCTTAATTTGTCAATTAGCCCTAGAACCTCATCTCTTGTCAGTTCTTCAAACACCCTCCCTGAAAAAAATTGCTTCTAGGACATCTGTCTAACATCTTCCACCATGAAAAGCAATGCAGAATCACTGTATCTCAGCTACGGGAATAACAGCAATGTATCTTATAGCAACAAGGCATGGGAAAAAAAGATATATTCTTATAAGAAACATTGCATCATTACACACAAATTTAAATATATTTCAATAACTTTGATGCCCCCTTCCCAAAGCCTGGCAGGGCGCGAGGGCTGGCATGTGTGTGCCAAATTTTGACGTAGCTCAGGGCACCATAATGCCCAAGTCTGCCCTGGTGAGGAGTTCTATGGATTATTAGTAATAATATCAAGAACCTCAGATATGCAGATGACACAACCTTGATGGCAGAAAGTGAGAAGGAATTAAAGAACCTTTTATTGAGGGTGAAAGAGGAGAGCGCAAAATATGGTCTGAAGCTCAACATCAAAAAAACTAAGATCATGGCCACTGGGCCCATCACCTTCTGGCAAACAGAAGGGGAAGAAATGGAGGCAGTGAGAGATTTTACTTTCTTGGGCTCCATGATCACTGCAGATGGTGACAGCAGCCATGAAATTAAAAGACGCCTGCTTCTTGAGAGAAAAGCAATGACAAACCTAGACAGCATCTTAAAAAGTAGAGACATCACCTTGCCAACAAAGGTCCGTATAGTAAAAGCTATGGTTTTCCCCGTAGTGATGTATGGAAGTGAGAGCTGGACCATAAAGAAGGCTGATTGCCGAAGAATTGATGCTTTTGAATTCTGGTGCTGGAGGAGACTCTTGAGAGTCCCATGGACTGCAAGAAGATCAAACCTCTCCATTCTGAAGGAAATCAGCCCTGAGTGCTCACTGGAAGGACAGATCCTGAAGCTGAGGCTCCAATACTTTGGCCACCTCATGAGAAGAGAAGACTCCTGGAAAAGACCCCGATGTTGGGAAAGATGGAGGGCACAAGGAGAAGGGGATGACAGAGGACCAGATGGTTGGACAGTGTTCTCGAAGCTACCAGCATGAATTTGACCAAACTGCGGGAGGCAGTGGAAGACAGGAGTGCCTGGCGTGCTCTGGTCCATGGGGACACGAAGAGTCGGACACGACTAAACAATGACGAAACAACAACAACCCTATCTTACTGATGCTCTGCAGGATTTGTTAACACATCAGTTCCCACAGGTGGAAGTGTTAGGTGTTAGGAAAGACCTCAGAGTGAACCAAGGGCGTAGCGGGGGGGGGGGGGCTGGCTTCAGGGCCAATGGCCCTGGGCACATTTTTCTGGGGCCCGTGAGGAGAAAGCAGCAGCTATGCCACCTTTGATGCCAACCTTGCAAAGCAGATCGGGGCTGGCGTCACATCAGCGGGGAGGGCTGGGCTGGAGCTCCCTGCCCCTGGCGCGCACCAGTGGGTCATCCCCCCAAGTGACATGAAGACAAGCTCCACAGCTGGAGTGAGCTCCTGGGGAGCTGGATTTTCAGACGAAAGCTTCCCCAGCTAAGATAGGCAGATGTGGACTAGGAAATTATTTGCCAAGGCTCATTTTGATAGCTCTTTTTTCTGCGACATATCTGGCCATTTCTTTCAGTGCATCTGATGAAGCGGAATCTAGTTAGGTTATGTCAGGGGTCAGCAAACTTTTTCAGCAGGGGGCCAGTCCACTGTCCCTCAGACCTTGTGGAGGGCCGGACTATATATATATATTGGGGGGGGGGGTGAACGAATTCCTATTCCCCACAAATAACCCGGAGATGCATTTTAAATAAAAACATACATTCTACTCATGTAAAAACACCAGGCAGGCCCCACAAATAACCCAGAGATGCATTTTAAATAAATGACACATTCTACTCATGTAAAAGCACGCTGATTCCGAGCCATCTGCGGGCCGGATTTAGAAGGCTATTGGGCCGGATCTGGCCCCCGGGCCTTAGTTTGCCTACCCATGGGTTATGTCATAATAAATGTGCTGATCTTAAATTGCTGCAATACACTCTTGCCTTCTCGAGTATGTTTAATTGCAATACAAAATTAAAAAATAAAAAATAAAATAAAATAAAATAAAAGTTTATTATTTATACCCTGCCCATCTGGCTGAGTTTCCCCAGCCACTCTGGGTGGCTCCCAACAGAATATAATAATAAAAAAGTGATAAAACATCAAACATTAAAAACTTCCCTAAACAGGGCTGCCTTCAGATGACTTCTAAAAGTCAGATAGTTGTTTATTTCCTTGACATCTGATGGGAGGGTGTTCCACAGGGCAGGCGCCACTACTGAGAAGGCCCTCTGCCTGGTTCCCTACAAGCTCACATCTTGCAGTGAGGGAACCGCCAGAAGGCCCTTGGATCTGGACCTCAGTGTCCGGGCTGAGCGATGAGGGTGGAGACGTTCCTTCAGGTAATTCGAATACAATAGATGCTACTGCCAGGCTCTACTGATTCTGAAGGTGTCTGTCTTTCTATTTAGGAAGAGAAGGATGGTGTCCCAGACAAAATGTCGGACGTGCAAGCCCTCCAAGGGAGTGGCAAGCCAAGGTGGGTGATAAGCAAAGAATTATGGCTTGCACTCCCCAAAGAATGAAAATTCCACTTGGCACATTAGCTAGACGATGGGCTTTCTACACTCACCACTGTGGAGTCGTCTGCTGGCTTTAATCTCGTTGAATCCCAGAAGCCCGGAGAGCTCCTCATCATACCAAACCAGGAGTTCCTCATTCCGGTGTATTTTCCTTGTAGGGCGATAGTACAGCTGGCTATTCCTTAAGTAGGCTTCTAGGTTCTGCTCTTTCTTGTTGGACGCTGGTTGAACCAACCTCATCCAAGGAAACCCACCAGGATTCTGCACTGATGTGGCATCTACCTATAGGGCCAAAAGTGGAGAAATTCACTGTTTTGTTCTGTTTATTATTATTATTTTTAAAAAGAAGGTTCCCCCCCAATACTTTTTATTCCTTTTTTGTAACAACAAATAAAACAAATACTCTTACATTCAAAAATTTGTATGTCTTCTTATTTACCCTGCGCCTTATTGCGCCCGGACTTCCTTCCATCCCTTCAATGGGTTTTCATGTCTCAAATCTTTTCTTACAGTTTCTTATTTACACTCCATCCACATCACAAGATTTACATTAATCCTGCTACAGTTTTTAAATTCTTACAATTACTCCGTATATATTCAACAAATTTACTCCAATCCTTTTCGAACTTTGCTTCTTTTTGGTTGCGAATCTTATAAGTCAATTTCGCCAATTCTATGTATTCAAACATTTTTGTCTGCCACTCCATTAAAGTTGGGATTTCTTGGGATTTCCATTTCTGAGCCACTAAGATTCTAGCGGCAGTCGTTGCGTACATGAATAGTTTGTAATCTTCCTTGTAATTTTTAAAAAGAAGTTTTGTGTGAGTGCTGCCATATTAATGGATACATGTCAGGCTTCCGGATTCCTCTCACAGTGGCAGCCAAGAAGCAGATAAACAAAAGGAGTTCTTACCAAGTAATTTATTCAATATTCACAGAGAGAGATGAAGGAATGCCGTCTCCCTAAGACAATGGTGTTGCTCCGAGTAAAGTCGCCTCCCCTCCGTCTCTCCTACTCTACGTCATCCCTGCGTCGGCTGATCTGTGCTTTCTGCCTGTGAGCTTTCTGTTCTACAATTCTCAATGGCCGCCTAGTCCTGGGAGATGGAGGGCGGTCAGGAATGCTTTCCAAAGACACTGAGTCTGATAGCTCTCCCTGGTGGTGCTTCTTCTTCCTGCTGCTCTCCCAATATTTCCCAGCTTCTCCCCACTGCAGCCTGTGAACTGTGACCTTCTGCAAACCACTGTTCTAAATCTATACTGTCCTCCTGTTCTCAGGAAGGTTCAGGAGAATGGAGGGCAGTCCCCACCATTCTTCCTCAGTCCAGCCCCTGACAATACATCCATAACGGTGATGAACATGTCCTCCCACATAAGCTTCAGAAAGAATCGACATTTCACCCTTTTATTAGGATGCTGTGCACACCTAACTCTTTTGCTCTCATCCTTCAATAGCTGCCTTCTTCAAGTATTCATGGTGGAGCTCTCACCAGTTGGCCCGACTAAAATAAATCCATGTAGATTCTCCAGTGAGCTACAGTGGTACCTCGGGTTAAGTACTTAATTCGTTCTGGAGGTCCGTTCTTAACCTGAAACTGTTCTTAACCTGAAGCACTACTTTAGCTAATGGGGCCTGCTGCTGCTGTTGCGCCACTGGAGCACAATTTCTGTTCTCATCCTGAAGCAAAGTTCTTAACCTGAAGCACTATTTCTGGGTTAGCGGAGTCTGTAACCTGAAGCGTATGTAACCTGAAGCGTATGTAACCCGAGGTACACTGTACTTTCTTTCTGGGAGGAAGGTCACTTCCTAGGTGCTAGGGTTAGGCTTTGGGAAGACACTGGGACTGCATTTCAGGATTTGGTTGGCGGCGTCACCTCAAGGTCAGCAGGGACAATCACACCATAGTCAACTTGCTGGATCTTTCTATGGCCTTTATTATGGCTTACTATGAGAGCTCAGTGATACAATGGCAAGAATTTGCAAAAAAAAATTGTGGGACTACAGTGGAACCTCGTGTTACGGATGGGATCCGTTCCGGAGGCCCGTCTGCAACACAGAACTGACGCAAGCAGTTCAAGCTTAGCGCTTCTGTGCATGCGCGAAGCAGGATTTAGTACTTCTGCGCATGCGGCAAAACCTGGAAGTGACCCGTTCCGGTACCTCCGGGTTGCCGTGGGTCGCAACACGAAAACACGTAACCTGAAGCAGACACAACTTGAGGTATGACTGTACTTATTCCTTGCTGGGAAATCCCCAAAAGCAATGGTCGGAAGCCATTGTATTACATTATTTATTGTATACAGTGGCACCTCTGGATACGAACGGGATCCGTTCCGGAGTCCCGTTCGCATCCAGAAGCAAACGTATCCAGCGACGATACGTCTGTGCATGCGCGCGTCACTTTTTGCCGCTTCTGTGCATGACGTCATTTTGAGCATCTGCGCAAGCAGCAAAACCTGGAAGGAACACGCTCCGTTACTTCCAGATTGCCACAGAGCGCAACTCGAACATGCTCAACCCGAAGCGCATTCAACCTGAGGTATGACTGTAGTTGTATTGTATTGTATAGTTATTAGCATTGTATTACATTAGTTATAATTTGACACTGATGTGTTATAAATTTGGAAAAATGGATAATAAATAATTGGGTAAGTAAGTAAGTAAGTAAGTAAGGGTCAATAGAATAAAAAATTAAATTCACTGTTTAGCCTTAAATCCCAACAGTACAGAAAATCCTGTGTGCCTGGGCCCCTTGGGAAATGATCCCAATGATTGCAAATATCACAATACAGTAACCATTCTCATTACTTTAGCTCACAATTAGGATTAGAGTGCCTATCAAAAGCTAGCTGGCTTCGTTTCAGAATCACTTTCTGGAGTCATGCAAAAGGACTCTTCTGAACAGCCTCTTACCTTGATGACATAATGGATGTTTCTTTTCTCTGAGCACTTGAGCGCAATAAAAGCCACAGTGTCCAACTGCGCATCGTGCAGCAGGCACGGCCCCAAAATAGTTTCCTCTGGAATTTCTTGAGTGGTGTGGACAGTTGCTAATACGTCTGGGAAATGCTGCGGCAGAAGTCTGTTATCGCTCGTCCTGAATTCTTTTGTTAAAAGTGTAAGTTCCATTGCAAACCTGTAAGGAGCAAAGAATTAAAGTGTCTACAGAGAATAAGTAGAGGCAGGTCCACTGTGTACACATTTGTCACCCACGAGATTTTAATTGCAAGTCTGACTATGTTTCTTATGAGCTAAACGACATGTGACTCAATATGTTTGTGATCAGGATCTCCCACGTCTGCTGCTTCCATATTAGGTTTGCTTCCAGAGCAGCTACATGGGGGCTGCTAATTTGATCAGGAATAAGTGCCAAAGAATGCTCCATCTACCGCACAATTGCACTCATTTCACACGCTAGCAAGGTTATGCTTAAAATTCTACAAGGCAGGCTCAAGCAGTATGTGGACCGAGAACTCCCAGAAGTGCAAGCTGGATTTCGAAGGGGCAGAGGAACCAGAGACCAAATTGCAAACATGCGCTAGATTATGGAGAAAGCTAGAGAGTTCCAGAAAGACATCTACTTCTGCTTCATTGACTATGCAAACGCCTTTCACTGTGTCGACCACAGCAAACTATGGCAAGTTCTTAAAGAAATGGGACTGCCTGATCACCTCATCTGTCTCCTGAGAAATCTCTATGTGGGACAAGAAGCTACAGTTAGAACTGGATATGGAACAACTGATTGGTTCAAAATTGGGAAAGGAGTAGGACAAGGCTGTATACTGTCTCCCTGCTTATTTAACTTATTTGCAGAATTCATCATGCGAAAGGCTGGGCTGGATGAATCCCAAGCTGGAATTAAGATTTCCGGAAGAAACATCAAGAACCTCAGATATGCAGATGACACAACCTTGATGGCAGAAAGTGAGGAGGAATTAAAGAACCTTTTAATGAGGGTGAAAGAGGAGAGCGCAAAATATGGTCTGAAGCTCAACATCAAAAAAACTAAGATCATGGCCACTGGGCCCATCACCTCCTGGCAAATAGAAGGGGAAGAAATGGAGGTAGTGAGAGATTTTACTTTCTTGGTCTCCATGATCACTGCAGATGGTGACAGCAGCCATGAAATTAAAAGACGCCTGCTTCTTGGGAGAAAAGCAATGACAAACCTAGACAGCATCTCAAAAAGCAGAGACATCACCTTGCCGACAAAGGTCTGTATAGTTAAAGCCATGGTTTTCCCAGTAGTGATGTATGGAAGTGAGAGCTGGACCATAAAGAAGGCTTGATGCTTTTGAATTCTGGTGCTGGAGGAGACTCTTGAGAGTCCCATGGACTGCAAGAAGATCAAACCTATCCATTCTGAAGGAAATCAGCCCTGAGTGCTCACTGGAAGGACAGATCCTGAAGCTGAGGCTCCAATACTTTGGCCACCTTATGAGAAGAGAAGACTCCCTGGGAAAGACCCTGATGTCGGGAAAGATGGAGGGCACAAGGAGAAGGGGACGACAGAGGACGAGATGGTTGGACAGTGTTCTCGAAGCTACCAGCATGAGTTTGACCAAACTGCGGGAGGCAGTGGACGACAGGAGTGCCTGGCCTGATCTGGTCCAGGGGGTCACAAAGAGTCGGACATGACTAAACGACTAAACAACAACAACAAGTGTTGGGGGCTGTGTTAGAAACAGAGGTATATAAGCTAGGTGCCAAATGGCTCCTTAAACCAAGGTTGCGGTCGCCAAAATGGAAAGTCTAGTTGCCATTTTGGAGCAAGAATACTCTAGAGTCTTCTTTTTCAAATGATGGACTTCTCGGTTAAACATCTGGCTAGTTCAGATGACAATCTTGAGCTAGGTTAAGAGCTTTGAGAACTTAAGGAAGAAAAAACAATTCAATTCAGGGATAGTCCACATATATATTGACCTATTCTGACCTCATTTTCTTAATAGTGACTGCTCCTGCTCATGCTGCACAGAAAAAGCAACTTGGTTCCAGAAATTCATTCCGATTGTGCAGATTAAATATAACAGATAGAATTCCATAGGGTGGGGTATTTGTGTGTGAAAAAACAGTTCCCCAGATGATGGAGATGTCAGGCATCATCGCAGCACCCGGACATCTTCACTTGGTTGCAAGTGGTCGAAAGTCGGGTGCAAAATGCGCCTGGCGCCTGGCTAATTTCGAACACTGGTTGGGGGTGGAAGAACTTTTCCTTGCATGACCTTTCCCTCATCCAAACGCCATCCTGAAGCTTACAGCTGAGTGATATCAGTTGGGAAATAAACTTCCCTTCAGATATAGTAGAAAAGGTGAAAAAGATGAAGCAACTTGGTGAAAGTCTTCAAATAAGGAACAAACAATGCTTCTAAAAACTATTTCTAGTGCTCTTCTTCCCTCCCTTAAATACCAGCTATGACTTGGTCCACAATGGAAGCAGTTACAGCCCCAAATCAGCCCAGCGGTTTAAAGTGCAGTGCGCTTGGCTCAATGGAGGCAGTTAAAGGTAAAGGTAAAGGGACCCCTGACCATTAGGTCCAGTCATGGCCGACTCTGGGGTTGTGGCGCTCATCTCGCTTATTGGCTGAGGGAGCCGGCGTACAGCTTCCGGGTCATGTGGCCAGCATGACTAAGCCGCTTCTGGTAAACCAGAGCAGCGCACCTTCCCTCTGCAGCGGTACCTATTTATCAACTTGCACTTTGACGTGCTTTAGAACTGCTAGATTGGCAAAAGCAGAGACCTAGCAATGGGAGCTCACCCTGTCGTGGGGATTCGAACCACCGACCTTCTGATCAGCAAGTCCTAGGCTCTGTGGTTTAACCCACAGTGCCACCCACGTCCCAATGGAGGCAGTTACAACCCTAAATAAGTTTTGTGAAGGTTTTCAGACCTACACTTCAGAAACCAAGACGTTGCGGAGTGTGTAAACCAAGCAAAGAGCAATTGCAAAGCTGTTGTTTCAGGGCATGTGAAGTTGTGAGACACACAGACTGGGATCAACAGGACCCAGGCACCCTGTACATCTCCAAAGCAGGTAAAATGTGCAGCAATTCCATCTGCATTGGGAATGCTTGGGGGGCAAGGGAGAACAGTATGATAAAAAAGGAGAGCTCTGCTCAGAATCAGTGCTGCAGCGGCTGCATCCAGAGGCATGCGCTCTGAGACTGACAGCACTTGCCACAATACCTCCCTTTATTCAAACAACTGTGTCCCAATTGGTTAGGTGTTGCCAGTCCCAAGAGGCTGGATCAATGTGTCTCAACGTCCAATATAAATTTCGATGCTTTGTGAAAATCAAATGAAATGATTTGGGGAGCCAAGTTTGAAGAGGGGGTGTGGGATGTTTATATTAGCTAAACGAGGAGACTGGCTTTTTTAAAAAAGGTTAAGAAAGACTGGGCAACAGGGAGAGTCATTGTGACTCCTTGCCATCCCTGAACAGGAACTTCCTGAAGAATTTCTTTCTCTCGGTAGAGTTACAAGGGTGGAACCCCAGGCCACGACGCTGGAGACTAAAGCAAGAAGAATGTAAGTGATTTTGGAGGCAGGACCCCCGCAGAAGCCGAGAGACCCAGGCCACTTCCACCGTTTGAGACCCCTAGTTGTAATTTTTAAAAAATGACAACACAAAAAGGGACCCAAGAAAAGATTGAGTTTGTTTATAAAATCAAAGGATCTGAGGTGACATCACGGTCTAATCCTGCGCCAGCAAAACCATTTTTAAAATCAATATTTCTGAAAACGTTTGACTCTTCAACATGACAAAATCTGTAAATCATTTATGGGTGGGATTCACCTATCAGAAGCCCTGCACAAGGACTTCCAATTGCACAATGATGCGTTTTTCACTTCTCCTACCCCTACACGCCACTTGTGACCCCCAAATTGCATCAGAAGGGGGGATTTTGAGAACCTCCACTCAGCGAATGGAGATTGCTCTACCTGCAAGCTGCAATGTTTGCGCAGGCAGGGCAGAAGAGCACAACACTGAATACCAAAGACCCCAAGTCTCTGACAAAATCACATCTCTTATTTGCTTAAATCTGCAACTCTAAGCCGAGAGTGCATGTGAACACCTTAGTCTGGCGCCTATGAAAACAAGGTAACAAGTGTCTAACTCTGTGGCCCCCTTTGAGCTTGAGGTCCAGGCAAGAAGCCAGCTCTTATAGTCACCTGAAGAAGGATATGGGTTGCTGTCTGGAGAGATGAGCAGGATTAGTCCTTTAGGGAGGGATTGGGATACTCCTAGTTATTTGTCACCCCTGTCATACAGAATGCCATCTAAGGGAAATCACTGCTTTAACAAAACTTGGGACTCCTCCAGACATCCGTTATATTACGGATTAATGATGCTTTGCGCTCATGATGCTATCAGGGAGGTCACACGCAACCCGCTTTCCATGCTGTTTGTGCCTGCAAATGTTGGGAGGGGGGGCTTCGCTTCCAGGTGGCGCATATTCCATCACTTCCTGCCGACATCTCGTAAGTTATTATACCGCAAATGTTCCGGTTTATTTTTCTTCTGCCCTTGTTGTGATGTGGCCCTTCCAGACGGCAATAACGCGTAGCTTTGCAGAAGCATCACAGGACAAACTGAAGCAAAATAAATCCACAACTAATGCGCTATTGTCGCGTCAAGAAGCTGTTGCAAAAGACACCTGCACTGAAACACCACTCTAGGGAGAGTCCCTAGGAATTTTAGCAAAGGATGATCCCAGATTCACGGCACAGAAAATGCGGTCATCCTCTCATTTTGGTACAGTTCGACGTTCAAAAACAATACAGCAATGCAGTCGCACTTAGCCAATCTCAATTGCCTAAAAAGAAGAAGCATTGCCATGTAGAATTGCAGAGATCCAGAGTTGCTCTTTTCTTAACTGAGTAAATATTTTCTCCAGAAAAAAAGGATGATCGAAACAGACTCCACCCTGCCTTTGATTCTCACAATATGTGTGTTGCTGCTTAACAAAGTATCTTTGTTCAATGTTTGTCCAAAATGTCAAGTACACTCTTCAACAATGTCAGGAAAGCAAGTAATATGGCAGATATCTTCTGAAATGGTATTCCAAGTCTACTATAAATTGTAACAACATGCACAGACATCTCTCAAAACCTAAAGATTCGGTTCACCTGCCCATTCTCAATGCCAACAGATATATAAAAAATCCTTTGTTTTCCCTACTTTTGCTTAAGAGCTTTATTAGAAACATGGATTAAATTACACCATTCATTCTCCCTAAAGGGTTATGATTACTCCCAACGCTTCCTCTATTCTAAATAAAAGAGGTATTAAATTTTGGTATCCACAATTTAAGTAAGTTTCGTTATTAGTTTTCATTTATCATTACTGCAAAGCAATTTAGCATTAAAAGTTAACAGTACAAAAAAAATCATAATCAACCTTTTGTATCAGCCCTAAAAAGATAACAGCAAAACCCTACGCATGTTTCCTCAAAAGCAAATCCTGCTGTTTTGAACTCTCCTTAGCATCCCAAATAAAAGATATAAAGAAAGATCTAAGCCAGGCATCCAGAGATAGTTCATCATTTCACATTATCCGTGTTCAGCTACTCCTTGTAATCCAAATTCCACACAGGGAGACGGGAGTATTTGAAATCTATTCCAAAGCCCAGAAACAAAACCTGGATGTCAGATCCTGCGATTCAGGCAGCATTGCAATATTCCAATTTGATGTTTGAAAGCCTGGTTTGAAAAGCTCTTCAGAAGCCGGGTGGTCGCTAATTTTGCAAACGTGCTATTATGGGATGTGTCCCTGGTGCTTTCCAGCAGGTCTGCCTCCGGCGGGTGAGTTCTCTGCGGGTTTCCCTCCCCAAAGAAACCTCCCGGCGGTTCCAAGGGTCGCCCCTTCGACAGTGCCGTCGGAAGAGCGCCTGGATCCAAACCACTCCCGAACGTTAAGGCATTTCGAAGGCTGCGATCCTATTATATAAGCACGCGAGGAAGTCCCGCTGAACCGAATGCGGATTCACACTCCCTCGCAAGCACGCCTCGTCGGGCAAAAGGGTCCTTTGGCGGAGAGCCCCCTCCCCGCCGCTCAAACCCATCTTAACCCGCTTACTTACCTGGGAGGGTCGAAGCGCGGCTCGCTAGCTGGATGGGCATCAGCTGGTGCTCAGACCCGCCCCGTCGGCTCCATCTCCGGGAGACGTCCAGCCGGAGCCCCCCGCTCTCCCCGCTCTGCTCCCGGTAGCCAAGCCAGCGGGGATTCGTCCGCGGGAGGAGGAGGAGGAGTTTCGACGGGGCGCTCAGTCCAGCCCAGAGGGGGGCGGCGGAGGCGGCGCAGAGGCGGCCCAGCCCTCACTTGGCTGCCGTCTGTCCGGAGGCCATCGCCCGGACCAAGCCACCCGCCGCGGAAGCGCCTCTCCAGGGGGATCCCCGAAGCTCCCTCGACGGGGCAGGCTGGGGGGGGGAATTCACGCCGCCCGCTGCAGTCTCGCCCCCACGGGCCGAGCTTTTCCCCAGGCTCCTACCACGGGGGTAGCCGAGGGAGCGGGCCTCTAACATAAATCCTGCCCCACCCCATAAATCCTGGCTACGCCCATGGTTCCTACCCGCCGCTGCGATTTTGTCTCCACTTACCGGACGGACGACAGCCTGGCATTCTGGTATCGCAGGGGGTTGGGCTAGATGACCCTTGGAACCCCTCCCTTCCATCTCTGCAATGCAATGAGGGGCCCGTCTGGGCCATAGCTGTCGACTTACAGATTTGAAAATAAGGGACCAGCAGCCTCGAAAATTAGGGATCAGCAGCCAAAATAAGGGATTTGGGCTTAGCTTATACAGAAATCCCGCACTCATGGAGCCACTGACTGTGTTTTGCAGGGGGTTGGACTAGATCAGGGGTCTGCAACCCACGGCTCCGGAGCCGCATGTGGCTCTTTTACACCTTTGCCGCGGCTCTGGGGCGGATACTAGCGAGGGGAGGAGGCGCATTGTGCGCCCCAACACTCCCCACTGTGGCGGGCGCTGTACTGGCTGTGACGTCGCATGGGGGTGGTGCGTGCGTTATTTTTATAATGATGAGTTTTGCGGCTCCCAGTTTTTTTTTCCTTCGGAAATGGGTCCAAGTGGCTCTTTTTGTATTAAAGGTTGCAGACCCCTGGACTAGATGATCCTAAGGATCTACAACTCCCACCAAAGAAGAGTGGCAGACAAAACTGATGAACGACGTCAAGATGGCAAAGCTTACAGGCAGAATTAGAAACCAGGAAGAGGACCTCTTTAATAAAGAATGGGGAAATAATTTAGTTGAAAAGCTATTGTCAAGAGTTACATACATTGGTAGGATTGACAGAAAACTAGGATTGAACTATGGATGGACAAATGATTTATAAAAATAGAGTTATGAAAGGGATGCAGAGGGGGAAATCACTCCATTAAGATGCTGCACTGGTTGGAGGGGATGCTAAGCAGCACGTCGGGGCTGCCGTCGTCCTGGTGCAAGGAGTTCCACTGGCCCTTCCCCACCCGAAAGAGGGGGGGAGGGGGAGGGAGAGAGATTCTCGCCCACACCATCCGCGAGCCTGGCATGAGGCGGTTGGCCGACTCTGGGGTTGCGGCGCACATCTCGCTTTATTGGCCGAGGGAGCCAGCGTACAGCTTCCGGGTCATGTGGCCAGCATGACTAAGCTGCTTCTGAAGAACCAGAGCAGCGCACAGAAACGCCGTTTACCTTCCCGCCAGAGCGGTACCTATTTATCTACTTGCACTTTGACGTGCTTTCGAACTGCTAGGTTGGCAGGAGCTGGGACCGAGCAACAGGAGCTCACCCCGTCACAGGGATTCAAACTGCCGACCTTCTGATCGGCAAGCTCTAGGCTCAGCGGTTTAACCCACAGAACCATTCTACTCATGTAAAAACACCAGGCAGGCCCCACAAATAACCCAGAGATTCATTTTAAATACAAGGACACATCACATTCTACTCGTGTAAAAACACACCAATTCCCAGACCGTCCACGGGCCGGGTTGAGAAGGCGATTGGGTCGCATCCGACCCCGGGCCTTAGGTTGCGTACCCCTGACCTAAGTCTGACAAAGGAAGTGGCTCCATGCCAGAGGGCAAATGGGTGGGTCTGAACAGGATGCCTCTCCTATTGGAACATAGAAAGCTGCATTATACAGAGTCAAATTATCCGTCTGTGTAACTCGGAATTAGGGACACGGGTGGCGCTGTGGGTTAAACCACAGAGCCTAGGACTTGCCGATCAGAAGGTTGGCAGTTCGAATGCCGTTGCTCGGTCCATGCTCCTGCCAACCTAGCAGTTCGAAAGCACATCAAAGTGCAAGTAGATAAATAGGTACCTCTCCGTCGGGAAGGTAAACAGCGTTTCTATGTGCTGCTCTGGTTCGCCGGAAGCGACTTAGTCGTGCTGGCCACATGACCCGGAAGCTATACACCGGCTCCCTCAGCCAATAAAGCAAGATGAGCGCCGCAACCCCAGAGTCGGCCACGACTGGACCTAATGTTCATGGGTCCCTTTACCTTTTAACTCAGAATTGCTTCTGGCTGATCAGGGCTTTCTAGGGCAGGCATAGGCAAACTCAGCCCTCCAGATGTTTTGGGACTACAATTCCCATCATCCCTGACCGCTGGTCCTCTTAGCTAGAGATGATGGAAGTTGTAGGCCAAAAACATATGGAGGGCCGAGTTTACCTATGCCTGCTCTAGGGTTTCCCCAGCCTCAACCTAGAGATGGCAGGCAGTGAACCAGGGACATTGTGCATGCAAAACCATTTACACTTGGCCACTGGACTGCAGCTCTTACCCTTATACAATTCGCTATTCAAGATGGAATTGGCTGGGGGGAAAGTGTTTTGTAGCCAGTGTAAATTCTTCACTCGGCTTACAAACTGGGGAATTGTGGGGAAAGAGGCGAGTATCATTTGGGAAAACGACATCAGCCTTCTCTGCTCAGGGTTGCCAAGCTTCAAGGCTGCATCCTCTATGGAGCCACATGCAGAACAGGGACTTGTTTGCATGTACGTATTCTGTAAAACATCGTGCATGTTGATGGAATAATGCTTATGCCAGTCTGCACAAGATCAGCAGTAATGGGAAAGGGGATGAGATAATAAACCCAAATTACGCTGCCTTCAGAAAGGCCCCTTTGCAATGAAATCTAGCAAACGGTTTATCCATTTTATCTCCTATCTTTGGAATCACTAACTTTGATTTCCAACCCTTTATTTAATATTGTAATGGAATTCCCCTGATTCACATATGATGATCATCATCATCATCCATCATCATCATCATCATCGCAAGAAGTGCCTTATGCCTTTTTGTTTTTAATTTCTTTATAAAAGGCAGTTGCTGGAGATAATTTATGGCTCTGCATAGCAAATGGTTTCTGGCACAGCTGGTACATAAAATATATAACCATCAAATGTCTTGTCAGAATCGAATAGGCCCCAAACTGGGACTTGCTACATCGCTTTTGAAAGATGTCATTCCATATAAATGCCTTTAACGCCTGGTAGAAAATTCCTATGAGCATGTTGACAAATGAAATAACCGGGCTTCTTTGATTAATGTCCAAGCAAACTGAATATTGGCTTGTATTGAAAAACCAAACGTCAACCCACTAATGGTTTTGAAGGAGGGATATTTTATATTTGATACAATCAAAGAGAAATCTGTTGCCAAAAGAAAAGCTGACAGGAGAGATTGAGGAAGAGACAAAACAAGCTCAGGAGATCTTGCAAAGCTGATGTAGAAAACTGGGGGGGGACGAAACGAAATCATTGCAATATTTCTGATTTTGCAAAAAAAGAGATAAAAAGAAAACACAGAAATCAATCCAGGCATTTCATAAAGGTCTTTATCCAACGTTCTCCCATCAGCTGCTTTGATCTGATTGGGTTGTCAGCTCAGGAATTTGCTACTTTAGGAGCGTTGGAGGAAATAAAGAACCTGCCTTTTTTATTTTCATTTTACCTGTTTCGGTGACCGGCGAGGGAGACCGACTCTGAAAGTGGCCCCAATATTTTTCCCGCCTCCTCTGTGTTGCAAATGGTCTGGCTCTTATTCCGACGAGGGTCTGATAGTTTGATTTTATTTTGAGCAACGGAGGATGAGCAAATAAGAGCAGGCATCCTTGTCGCAATTTCCAGTGGCGCAGCTGGATCCCCCCATTTCTGTAGCCCCCTCCCTGCAACCTTTTTTTATTAGACATGACCAGACCCACCCACCCGTAACAGGAACTGCCAGACTTACATGCCACATAAAGCAACCAACTAGGCAGGTTAGTGCAGATGATGAAGTTCTCCGTTAAAGGGTTTTGACTTGCTGCTTTAATGGCAATGCCAGTGTTTTCAACCAAAAACAAAAGAGGGAAAATGGTAGTAAAATGCAGAATTATTTATTACAACAAACAAATCATAGCTGCAAAGATTCCAGCAATAATTCCTTAACTATCCTAATACTATGTGAATCATTTTGACATAAGCCAAATTTGTTTCGATGCAAAGATCTTCATCGGTGGTCCAATCTATCATATATATTTTTAAAAAAACAAAACCTAAACATGGCAAATTGATAAGCTTTTTTTCTTGCATATAAAACCTCAGAGGAGAGCAAAACTATTCCCATCACACCGAAAACAATTGCCCTTGATAAACAAATTATCGACCTCTGTCTTTCTAACACTGGACTTGAGCTACAAATCTGCTTCTTCTGAGATCATCCCTGAAAATTTGGCACCTTTTACCTGTTTTTGAGAAGCTTTTTTTTTTACCGTGGAGCTGCCAGTTTCAAGTTGCTAAAGGATTTCAGGTTCAATTCTTGCTTTGGGGGAAATCCACAATTCATTACCTAGTCCACAAGCCATTAGAATTGGTGGTTGATCTGACTTGAGTGTTTAGTTCACTGTTTTAAGCACCAGTTACCTGGTAGACTCATGAGCACAACTATGTATTTATTTATTTATTTATTTAATTTACTAGGTGCCTTTTTATTTTGCCGTGACAACTGAAAGTGACTTGCCAAGTAACTTAAAAACAAAAAACACATACACTAAAACCAGGGGAAGAAATACATTAAAACATTCTACCCACACTAAAAGGCCATGGATAGTTAAAAGGGAAAGACCTGGTTTAAAAGGAATGGTTTTTTCCTGGCACCTGAAGATACATAATAATGGCTCCAGGTGAGCTTCCCCAGAGGTAAAGGTAAAGGGAGCCCTGACCATTAGGTCCAGTCGCGGACGACTCGGGTTGCGGCGCTCATTTCGCTTTACTGGCCAAGGGAGCCGGCGTACAGCTTCCAGGTTATGTGGCCAGCATGACTAACGCCCTTCTGGCGAACCAGAGCAGCGCACGGAAATGCCGTTTACCTTCCCGCCAGAGCGGTACCTATTTATCTACTTGCACTTTGCCGTGCTTTCGAACTGCTAGGTTGGCAGGAGCAGGGACCGAGCAACAGGAGCTCACCGCTTCCCAGGGATTCGAACCGCCGACCTTCTGATCGGCAAGTCCTAGGCTCAGTGGTTTAACCCACAGCACCACCGCATCCCCAGAGATAGCATTCCACAAATAGCGAACCACCACTGAAAAGGCCTGTTCTTGTGTAGCCACCTTCCAGACCTCTCATGGACGAGGC